TCGTAAAATACGTAAGATTGAGCAAAAATCGTACGAGTGAGGAAATAGCCACCTCGTAAAATACGTACGAATTGCCATGAGATCGGGTTGGAATTAATGAGTTGGTTTAATTACTGTGCAGAATTACTAAAAATAAGAAGACATTTAGTGGAGAAAGAATGTGCGTGAAGTATTTTATTTGGAATATCCAGATCTCCAATCTTTGAAATATTCGGAAAACTGTCATGCACATGTCTTTTCAGAATAAAGAACATTCAAAATATGGATCTTGATGAAAATGATGTGCATGTAAATGTGATCATTGAGATTGTAGCGTACAGTAGCCTACATGCAGTACTTTGCCAATCTAAAAATAAGCAGCATATGGATTTCCAATATTTCAATCCTGTTCTGGCAATTGTACATTCCATGACCTGTCATTTCCATGTTTTGTTGGGTTCAGTGGTTCACAGAGCTTTAACCTTTCCCATCAAATCAAAAGAGGGCTATCTGTCCATCAAATGAATTTCTGACAACAGAGGCAGCATTTAGCTGCAACACTGCTTTAGGGACACAAAACATGCTGACTCGATTTAGAGAGCTTGTCTCTTTAAAAAAAAATACTTTCGAAAAGACAGACTAATGTTAAAGTAACACCAGGTAACTTTTCAACCTTCATAATATACTTCCAAGTCTCTTGTGATGGTACATCGACTTACAATAGGTTGAATGACACGTCTGCCATAGCCTGACGGAGTCTGTAGCGTTTTTAATCGTACTTTTAAACTTCGGGTTTCGGGTAGTAACCGGCGAACAAAGAGAACTACAAAATTCGACTGCTTTACGGCTTATACGTCAGTTCCACCACCACCCCCGCTTCCTTAAAATCGGACGTGCGAGCCAAATGTTATAGTCAAGGCCGAAGCAGCACAGAAAAACAAGAAAGCAAAGGTTTTATCGGAGCAAAGCAAAAAGAGAAAAAGAGAAAGTGATCGCGTTAAAGGCAGAACGAGGATCAACATTGGGCCAGCCTTTTCTCGCTGGCGTGAGCTGAAGGAGGAGGAGGGGTGCCCGACCGATGCCGACTTGGCAAAAAAATCAACAACAAAAAAAAAATCAAATGAAAGCCTATGTCTAAACGGCGTGTACAAGTTTGGTAGGGGCTACATTCTTGCAAGTAAATATATAAGATGTACAAAAACATATTTTAGGATACCTAACATGTCTGTAATATTTGTTTATTTGTCTTGCTTCAAGCTATAATGCAAATCGATTTGTAAAATTTGCAGATTCATTTATTGGTAGCTTGATATTATAATTTTGACGATATATGGTTATTATCTACCACTCAAACATTGCATTGAAGTATCATATAGATTCAGTAAAACGGTAACCAATAGACTAGGCTACTATAATGACGCTGGCTTGTAAACGTGATCATCGCGATCATTTGTCGTTAGAAAAAAAATAAAACCCATGAAATTATATTCATATGACATGCTGAAATATATGCCACTGTACCTGGGATGAAGACATTTCACACGCGACGCAAGCAGAACACCTGCATGTGACCTCCTCCTACAGTGTTCAGGGCTATCATGGTTGTCTTGTCAACAATTGCACGTGCATTTAGGATGACAGAGTTTACGACAGTAGTAGAGGTCTAGAGGACAATACTGTTTCCCAACTGTAGGGGGACCCCACCCCGAGAGCAAAAGTAACCTGGTGTTACTTTAAGCAATAAAGCAGTGGGTGTAAAGTATTTGAGTAAATAAAGTTAGTTACTGTACTTAATTATCTTTTTGGCTACTTTTGAGCTTTACTGAGTATCACACGTTAACATGCAATTTAACAATTTGGTCATATTCATATTATGTATTAAGTGTGTCTTGTAAATACATAACCTGATTAATATTCCAGTTTCTAGAAATCTGAATAAGACATATGGTTATATTAATCTAATTATTATAATCTGGTACTCATGTTGAATGAGAATTAACAACGCTATCTCGCGACCAATTCGTCGACTAATCTCACGGCCTACTCTTTACTCCAACACATTTATGATCAGTATTGCAATTACTCGTTACATTTTGCATGGCACCTAACCTTTTCTGCAGCAGTTTATTCCAACCCGATCTCACGGCAATTCGTACGTATTTTACGAGGTGGCTAATTCATACGAATGACCTACCCCTGACCCCGCCCCTAAACCTACCCACAAATCGTACGAATTAGCCACCTCATACTCATTCGTACGAATCGGTTGTGAGATAGCATTGTTTATTCTGCTACAAAAGAAGTGATATCGCCATCTACAGGGAATTTAAGGTACTATATCGTTCGTGTGCGTTTTTGCCCTTACTCACCCAAACTTGTCAACAAGGCTACTTTACGTGAATGCTAGTGCATTAGCAGGTAGCTGCTGAATTGCAGGTTTTTTAATTTATGAGATGAGGATGAAACCAGCACGTACAGTGCAAGTAGGCTTTGAAAATAAATGTGATTTCTCTCCTCAAAAATGTTTTTGTTTTTGACTGCCATGTCTCTTAGGTGTTGAGGACTAGTGTATCTTTGAGTCTACATTTAGTATGAGTAACATACTTAAGTACTGTTAAAATCAGATACTCTAAGACTTTTACTCAAGTCGTACTGGAATTGGTGACTTGTAATTTGCAATGGAGTCATTTTCGCTGTAAGGTATCTATCTGTACTTTTACTCAAGTATGGTTTTCAGGTAGCCTGGCAAGCCAGACCTACATCAAGATGTTAGGTCTGGGAACTCACAATTGGCATACCTCAATCCGAGGGGCGGGATAAACGGTTGTCTTTCAATATCCCTCGGCACGCAATAGGATAGCGCTATAACCAACCAGAGCAACAAACGGCTGTGGCTGAGTGAGTCCCATGCGTTTTTCCACCAGTGAACCAGCTAGTTGGTATATTAAACGTTTGCCGTATCCGGTCGTCAAAACTCAGAACACATCTTCCTTTTTTAGGAATGAATTAAGTGACGTTCTCTTAACTCCAAGTCATCCAGAGTCGCGGGCAAAGCCGATTCGAAAGACCGCTGTTCGCCAGCAGCATCTTCTTTGTTTTCAAGCAGAGGGAATCAAATCACCTATGGAAATCACGCGGAACCGTCATAACTCTGCCGTCATTATGTTAAGCCCGCCCACCAACTCTACACGATCTGATTGGCCGGACCAGTTTTGGGTTTTTCCAGCTCAAAAGTCTATGGAGAGTTGCTAGACCACACTTTGCTGCAAAATAATTTTTGCTGCCGCTAGGGTGCGTCTAGATTTCTAGGCTAGTTTTCAGGTACTCTTTATACACCTCTGCAATAAAGTAACAAAAACTAAAAAGTCCTTATAGCCTATTTTAAGCTGACAGCAGGAAAAACCTTTCTAAGAGATACTAAAGTGTACACAATTTGTAACAACCTGCTAGCCTAAACATGTTCTGTTGTTGACATTACACTACACGTTCATCAATTTAGCATACAGGTATTAGAGACATCAGAAATAAAAGTTAGGCCCATTTTATCATCCATTGGAGGCACAGATGCTTCATAGAATGGAACTCTTTTGAGGCCTTGACCATTAATACTGAGAGACAGGTATGTCAGGTTTGATCATTGTTGCCGGCAGCAGACATTTGAGGGTTCAGCAAAAACAACACAGGTCCACAGCTGTTTGAAAACCAAACAAGATATGCTGATGTTTACTGCTGATGTTAGTGTGTAATGCCTCTGATGAGATTCATATTGCAGTGCTTCTAAAATTGTACAATAAAAAAGCAGTTTAGACTTGAGCCGAATTATAGTCCAAGAATATCTATCATATGTTTTAGCTAAAGGAAATTTTGTGCAGTAGGAGAAAAACCCCACAGAACTTCACCATAAAAATACAGTGATATTGTTAGACATTATGGAAAATACTTTTGAGGAGCATACTGTAAATATCCTAATTGTTATTAAATTGTATAATGTAAGTAGAACAAGTTATTTTAGCTGTTAAAATCCTCTTACAGTAAATTGTACTGTTAAGGTGATAAAGGGTACACAAAGACTCCCCAGAAATTGAGGGCAATAATAATATTATAGTGAGTGTAAAAGCAATGCCCACAAGAAGATAAAAAACCTGAGTAGGCTATGCTACACACAACATAAACACTCTAAATTTACATGATAACAATAATAAAAAAACAAGCTTTTTAAATATACACCATAAACAAATGCGATGGGTTTTGTGCAGGGAAATAGCCATTTCTCAAACTAAGGACACAAATCATATTTTTACCTATAAAAACAACTTTTTGTTTACCAATCTTTTATGTTAAAAATGTACAATAAACATGCTGCTTTTATAATATAATTATTATTGTTTGCATTCTTCTTTCCTTTTTATACAGTGTAAGTACCAACACCAATCACACTATATCGGGTTAATAACCGCTAGGCCTAGATATAAAAAGCAATAAAATGATCCTGGACAAATGTAAAGAAAATGTAAAGAAACTCTTCTAAGATTTTACAACTTCTGCAGCTTTGCAAAAGTGTCCTGCAGCAATTTATCCATATAACGTGTGCAGGGTGCAAAGATAAACAATATCAAACTGTAAAAACTGCAGTGGATTTTTATTACTATTATTCTTATCGAATTATTTGATTCCAGGATCCTTTAGGATAGAATGGGTTCCAAATTATGATAGAAATTCCAACAGGAATCCTGGACACATTCCTATAGCATGCTTTTATTGACTAGTTCAGACTATTTCCAACCGAAGCAATTAAAAATCTGATGGAAAATACAACGCATGTTTGAAAAAAGAAGGTTTGTTATTAAATCTTGAACTGAAATATTTGCCGTTGCGTTTTCACATTTCGCACTTCAGCACAACTTTACACCGCAACGGTCAGATTTCGACATTGTTTACATGCACTGTCTGTCTCCGCACCTTTAATTCAATGATTTAACACACATGTTGGTAGTATACGAAACAAATAAAGCGATACCCACCTCTAGTTTGCATAAACTCGAGCTTTTAGATCGCGACTTTCTGCGCAGGTAGACGGAAAACCATCTTCTAACAGTAAATTTGCGCATGTTCGTATCCATTGTCCCGGTTCGGCTGCTATACTCAAAAGACAATTTATCTGTCCAGCGTTTAAATCCAGATCAGCACAACAGTGGGGATTTACAGTCGCCTCCCCTCCACTAGCCTAATCCATAATGCTCACTTATTATGAGGGGGTGAGGCCATGACCAAGCCAAGCATGCAGTCACGGTTGCTGACGCTGACCCGTTCGTTCGGTTGTGCACGGGAGAGATGACGGGAGCTGTCCTCCTCAGAACCACCTTCACACTCGAGCTGTATAGCCTGAAGAACCCTCCCCAATCACTGAGATCCTTAAAGCTGAAGCGTCGTTTTTATGTTCAAATTTTTTTTTTTTTTTTTTATATAGGTCTATATGTTTAAATATATGCTGAGGGAACTAAGCCATGTTAATTCCCTTGAATTTTTTTTAATACTGTTGTGGCTCTTCTGTGCTATAAAAACATTGCTCTGATGTTAACATTGTCACAAACACCAATTAATGGGTTTGGGGCAGAACTATCTTTTTTTTTTTTTTTTTTTTTTTTAAATCTCACACTCCAGGTCATCCACAACAAATTCTGAAACCAGGACAACCCTTTAAAAAAAAAAAAAAAAAAAAATTGTATGGCCATCACATAAAAAAAGGTTTAAATCCTTAGGATGGGGCTGTGCAAATAGCTAATTAAAAGTTTTCTCTTGGACTGCACCTTCACTTCCATTTCCCTTTCAGTCTCTTAATTTTCACTGATATCTCTGTCTCTCACGTGTGTGTGTGTGTGTGTGTGTGTGTGTGTGTGTGTGTTTACTTTTTTCTTGTGTGCTACATGTCACTTTTTCATTAGCATGTCTGTTATGAACAGTTACTGTCTCCACCTTGCTGCAAAACAACCACATCGCATTGTAACTTGTTTGCACATTATTACATTTATTTTAGTTAAAATTAAAGTAGGCTATTACATTATTTACTACCGTGTTATCGTTTTATTTTAAAATGACTTAAATACTCTAGATTTAGCAAAACTATATTTTCTAAATTGCCTAAATGTCAAAGTAGCCTATACTAATAACTATACATCATGACAGTATCTTTATACACAGATCCTAATACTGAACATGTTATTGCATTATCTTGAGTCATATTTTTCCTTTACGAATGTTAAACTTATAGTAAGTCTTATAATAAAAGTATAGTAACCATGTTTATTTTTTTGGCGGATTGATTACCATTTGTTAACCCGCATGGCTCAGAGTGGTTTAACAATTAATGCCACACACAGATTAAATTAACTCAAAAATACATGTTTATTAAAGTAACAATTAAAGAAGTATATAGAAATTTTACGTTCCCAGAATGTTCTCAGAACGTCCCCGCTGGTGTCAAGGACGTCGCCTAGTAACGTTCCCGGAACATTCCGAGAAGGTCACAATGTGCACTTTTAATGGTTGGGGGACGTAATTTGGCGGATCTTCACGGAACATTCAGGACGTTCTCAGAACATTTAGGGCACATTTTATTTGGAACTTTGATGTTCCCCGAACGTTCTCAGAATGTCCCCGCTAGTGTCAACGACGTCACCTGGTAATATTCCCAGAACGTTCCGAGACGGTCACAATGTGCACTTTTAATGGTTGGGGGACGTTATTTGGTGGACCTTCAGGGTGATCTCTAAACGTTTAGGGGACTATTACTATTGGTCTCTACTATGGTTGTCAAAAGTACTGGTACTTTGGGACAAAGTCGGTACTGAAATTTTGAAAATGTGACGATACCAGCATTTCTGTACCGAGTACCGGGTATATTCGGTACCCACTAATAGGCAGCTGCTTTCAGTCTCTTCCGTGTTTATCTAAGCGCAGGGCTCCAGACTAACTCTTTTTATCTTTTTTTATCCCCCTAAAGTATCGGGAACGTTATTATATGACCAAGAGAGGACAATGTGGGAACGTTCTGTTAACGTCCCAAATGTCCTCTTTGTAACGTACTTATGTGATCATAAAATATCCAACATGTAATGTCCCCATAAAGTCATAAAAGGAACCTTGAACTGCAGCACTTTTATAACCAAAAGAAGACATTTTTAGGACCGTCCCTAATGTTCTGTAAAGGTTCTGGATTTTCTTCACTTTTAGACAACTTTTAGGCAAGCTCGCGAGAACGTCCCCTCCTACATTGGAACATCAGTTACAAAAGAAATTAAACTTATAAAAGAATTACAAGAAAAACAAATTAGCCTACACAAAATAATTTCTAAATTAACAACGCTTCCGCCAAAAATGTGTCTCGAATATGTCTAATTGCACCCTTCGAATGTGAATGTGTCTAAATGCAAGATCCTGATCACTCTGTCAGGGTTTATTCTGCGATAACAATGATGTACATTATCCCTTACTTAAAACACATATGACACATATTTCCAATCATAGTAACACAACGAGCTACAACCTAATTTTCCTCAAAACGAGTATTATAATTGATCTATGAAATAAAATCAATAAATTCACTGTTATTAGAAAAAATATTCAATAACTTCACTGTTATACAGTGTAATGCCATCAAATTCAGTAAGCAATTATCATGCAAAAGCTACGGTTGTAACTATTATGTTAGCTGCGTACCAATATCATTTGTGTAAAGAATAGTTACGGCCCCTAAGTTAATAACTAATGATCTTTGCAACGGAAGTGAATCAATCAAAACTAATTTTAGCTAGACAATTAACTTTATTCTAGAGCTGATGTAAAGCCAAAACAATCTCTGTTACTTTAATTCCCTATTATCACTCTAAAGCTGCATTGAAATCTATATTGTTAAAAGCGCTATATAAATAAACGTGACTTGACTTGACTAGTATGACCAGTAGGAGACCATTGATGTGTACATTGAATTTGGTGACACTACAGTGTGTAACATTGAAGTTAAAGGGATACTCCACTTTTTTTGGAAATAGGCTAATTTTACAACTCCCCCATAGTTAAACTGTTGAGTTTTACCGTTTTTGAATCCATTCAGCCGATCTCCGGTTCTGGCGGTACCACTTTTAGCATAGCTTAGCATACATCATTGGAGTGGACAAGACCATTAGCATTTCTAAAAAAAAATGACCAAAGAGTTTCGATATTTTTCCTATTTAATACTTGACTCTTCTGTAGTTACATCGTGCACTAAGACCGACGGAAAATGTAAAGTTGCGATTTTCTAGGCTGATATGGCTAGGAACTATACTCTCATTCCTGCGTAATAATCAAGAAACTTCACTGCAGTACCATGAGAGCAGCAGGCGTAATGATATGACGCAGCGCCTGAAAATAGTTCCGTTGTGTTGACGGAAGGTAGCCTATTTTCAGGCACTGCGTCATATCATTACGCCTGCTGCACTCATGGTACGGCAGTGAAGTTTCTTGATTATTACGCAGGAATGAGAGTATAGTTCCTAGCCATATCAGCCTAGAAAATCGCAACTTTACATTTTCCGTCGGTCTTAGTGCACGATGTAACTACAGAAGAGTCAAGTTTTAAATAGAAAAAATATCGAAACTCTTTGGTCATTTTTGTTTTTAGAAATGCTAATGGTCTTGTCCACTCCAATGATGTATGCTAAGCTATGCTAAAAGTGGTACCGCCAGAACCGGAGATCGGCTGAATGGATTCAAAAACGGTAAAACTCAACAGTTTAACTCTGGGGGAGTTGTAAAATTAGCCTATTTCCAAAAAAAGTGGAGTATCCCTTTAAAGGGGTCATATAATGCCATTTTTGTACAAGCTAATATGATTCGTTAGGGTCTAAATTAAAAGTTTGTAATATACTTTAATTAAAAATTCTCATCATTATTGTAAGAAAACACTTATTTTACCTGGTCAAAAACAGCTCTGTTTTCAGCACGCCGTTTCAGTGCATATGACTTTAAATGATAATGAGCTTTGCTCACCCCACCTCTCTGTTCTGTGCATACACCGTTTGTAACACAATAACACAATAACCATAACGCGTTGTTCATTATAAACGTGGGATTATGCATTATATTGAGAACATCGTACATAGAAAACATGCCGTAATGTACCCTAAGTGTAATTTAGACGCATTCATGGTGAAGCGTGCAAGCGATTTGCAAAGATTAATATAAGTATTAATATAACGGTTAATAAAACGTTACACTCACTTCAGTTCTTCTGGAGGTTCAGCAGGAACACGAATAGTTGGTAACGATCCTTTATTAAAGTCCCTGTAAAGGCAATTAAAACATTTCTAAACACATTATAAATGTTAGAAATGTATTGCTAAAACATATTACAAAGACTGTGAACTGTGAAGTACTGAATTGTGGAGTTAGACCGTTAAACAGTTTTTCACCATTGATATTTTCCGGATTTTTTGGGCGGGGCTAAAATGGGGCTCGATGACGCACTGGAGCCCCTGAGCTCCTGGACACGCCCCTACTTGATGACGCAGTGGAGCCACTGAGGCTGTCCGCTCCCCTAACAATATAGAGCACATTCACATCAGTTTTGCCGCTCAATCGTGAGTTACGGTCAGTACTATTAGTTACTACAGCAGCCTACAGATTGCTAGCTAGCTATGCCTTCGTCACAGAAAAGCGTACCGGATGCGATCACCGGATCACATACAAAACAGATCGGTGTCCTTATTTAAATTTCCGAAAAACGATTACATCAAGAAGAAGTGGATTAATTTTGTGAAGAGCCAACCTTGATGGAGAGCTGAGGATCACTGCCAAAACCCGCCTCTGTAAGTTATCATTTTACACGGGATAGTTTTATAAACTTTCGTCGAAGACAATTGAGACATTCACTGATAATCCGCTGTTACTGGTGAATGGGGCCGAACCGACTATCTTCCACCTCAGCCTTCATCCTCCCGTCGCGCCGACAACTGGTGCCATCATCGGCAGTGCGTGCCCACTGTGCGAGCATCTATTCTGGCTGTAGAGTTGAGTGTGGCGACGGCAGCTTTCCCGCGAGTGGGCGTGGTTTCAGCGCAGCCAGCGGACACGCCCCCAGCGTTTGAGAGCAGAGACTACTGCTCATTTTTTCAAGATTTTGATAGCTTATTTTATGTACTTGCTGGCTTTTTTATCATTCAAATTTGGCAGGGTGGCTAATAACACATTTTTCTGTGGTGTGACAAACTCAGAACACATACAAAATTGTGACTTTACAGG